CAGTTCCATCCACGTCGTTGCAAATCTGCCGCTGTTATCTTAAAGGTCCAAACCTCCAAGTCCTGGTCTGTCTTCTTTCTGGATCTTTCTCACATCTGTACCTCCCACTCCAACCCTACCTCAGAGGCCACCCAGCCCAGGTTTCAGCTCTATTCACCTAAACCAGAGCAATGGCCTCTTAAGATGCTTTCATCTTGTCATGCCCCCACCCCGTGGCGCCACAGAACAAGGACTTCGTCCCACAGCCCAGAGCCCACCAACCTGGCCCTAACGATCTTTCCAGCCCTAACTGTCATCCCCTACAGTCTGTTCTTATTCTTCCTCTCATGCTATCTCTCCCAGGCTACCATCCGCCCCGACCCCTCCCTCCCACCACAGTGTCATTCCCAACTCAGGTCCTGCTCCCAGGTGGAATTGTGAGCCAGGAGTAGGGAGAGCAGGGATGGTGCCCTCTCCCCAGGAGTTACAAGGAGAGCTACTATTTACTGAGAGCTTGCTCCGTGCCTCATTCTATACTATCTCTTGAGCTCTGACAGACCCATGGTGTAGCTCATAATTTATGAGACTGAAGCTCAAAGAGGTTAAATATTCTGCCACACGTCTAACTGATGGTTAAGGAGGGATCTATACCATGTAAAAGTAGTTAGCAGACACTGAGACCGTGAGCTCCGTGGGCCTAGGTCTTGCCTGATTGCCGCTCTAGCTCAGGGCCTAACACAGTGTCTGGCTCATAGTAGGCGCCTGGTAAATAATATAGAAAAGGACTTATAACCTGCTCCAAGGCCTTTACTGACTCCCACAGGCCCCAGGGGGGTACGTGCCCCCCCCCCCGGCTCCTCCCCAACTGTCCCAAGCCCAGGAAAATGGACCATGCTAGGTGTCCAGCACCTGTTACCTCCAGCCATAGTGGGCAGACATTCTTAAATCCATTTTGGACTTGATGTTTCTTGTTTTGTTCAAGATTTTCTTGGTTAGAATGGGCAGGAGGGGCACCTGGCTGGCTCAGTCAGTAGAGCATGCAACTCTTGATCTCAGCGTTGTGAGCTTGTTGGGTGTAGAGATCACTTAAATAAATAATTAAAAAAAAAAAAAAAAAGAACCTGACAAGAACCCAACTTAAAACTACTTAAGGAATGTACTTATTGGTTTATAAAACTGAGAAATCCGGAGGTAGAACCGGGCTCAGACACGACGGAGTCCGAGTACTCAAATAGGGTTCAGGATGCCCTCTCCCACTGAGTGTTATACTCCTTCTCCCCTTCTGTAGAATGGGCTTCTCCCATGTTTGGGGACCGGACAGGGAAGAAGAGGCCATGGCCTCAGACAGCTCCACGTTTCACATCATCCCGGCCTCCCACCCAGGGAACACAGACAGCTCTCCTCTGCATCCCTCACATGACCCCAAGGACGGATGCCAGTGGGTCCTGCTTAGTTCACGTGCCCCGCTTGGCCCAGTCACTGGCCTCAGGGGATGGGGTGGTATCCTCGCCAGGCTTGTGAGCCCGCCGAGGGGATAGAGGCGCAGAGTCCAGCGAGGGATGGCCCTGCCCGAACTACACGGGGCCGGGGTGGGGGGGGTGCTTTCCTAGAGGGGTGCAGTCAGCAGAGGAAGAGGGCAGGGCTGCCGTGCAGAAAACCACAGTACCAGCCTCGCTCCGGTGCCGGTCTTGGGGTCTGAGGCTGGAGACCATTGGAAGATCCCTCAGATGCACCGCAGCCCCGCGCCGCACAGGAGCTCCTGTCTGCGCTCAGCAGCCCCTGTTCGGATAGGTTAGGGACCGGGCAGTGGAGGTTCGGGCTGGGCCCGGAGGGCTGCCCCCAGGGCTCCTTGCCTCTCCTCCCTCCAGCCCAGCATGAGAGCAGCCGGCCTGAGCAACAGAGAGTCCCCCGAGCTTTGGTCTCTTCCGAGCTCTGGGAGCCTGGGAGACTTACTCGACCTCACTTGTCTTCCATTTCCCCAGCTGAAGGCTGAGCCAGATGATCTCTAGACTCTTTCCCCATAAAATTTGAAGATTGAGTTTGATATTGAGACGGACATCCTGTGCACCTAGCCCCCAGCACACCCACACCCACACCCACACAGTCACCCCACCTCTTCTGTTGCCCTGTTCAGTCCCTGGCAGGCCCCTACCCTTAACATGGGGTGATGAACAGGGCCACTGCGGGGCATCAGGAGGCCCCTGTGGGGGCACCGTTTCCACAGGCAGAGATGCCCAGGCTCCTTGTTTACCCATGGAGCCCAGAAGACCTGCAGCAACCACACCCTGGGGCGGAGGTGGAGGGCGGGTAGCGGGGAGCTGTGCCTGCCCCCCTGTGACTCATCCCAAGTTGGCTTGGCCCGCCCAGGCCCCAGGGAAGCCAGGGCCACAATGGTGGGGTGGCCAGAAGAGGGCATGGGAGGGCCCAAGGAGCAGTGGTCGCACCAGGGGCATCGCTGGGACCCTGGCGGCCTGCTTGGGCTCTGTTCCTGCGGAGCTTGAGGCTCCTTCCCCAAATCGGAGCAGACCCTGCTTACAGTCGCAGCTCTGCCGGCTCACAAGACAACTGCCTCCCTGGTTGCCTGGGAGGAGGAGTCAGCAGGAAGTGTGTGGGGCTTTTAATAAAACAATCAGCTTGGTCTAGCCCACCTCGGAGTTCGGGAAACCAGCTGCCTCATCCCCAGCTGAAAGAGAACTTGGGAACATCCTGAGGTGGCTGTCCCAGTCCCAGGATGTGCAGCTGGGCTTCGCTCCGCCCCAGAACGGACACAGATTTGACCTGGGGAGTCACAGGACCGCGGAAGCCCTGCAGAGGCTTCTGGGCCTGTCCCTCACCTGCAGGCTTAGAAAGGCTCACTGTGCGTGTACACACACACACACACACACACACACACCCCTGCTGTCTCGCTCACCTATTCAGCAAGGCCTTACTCAGAAAGACCAGGTTCAGAGCTCTGGGGAGTCATAGCCTTGGCTCCCAGCGAAGTCCCCCAAAGTTCCGGGCAGGACGCCAAAACCCAAACTCAAAGCATCTGCCTGTCCTAACACATGAAAGAGGAAGGGCAACTTTACCCACAGGAAAGGGGGCAACATGGGCAGGTGGGTGGGAGCTTTGATGAAGGGAGGTCACTTGATCGGGGCCCTGAAAGGTAAGTGGAGGTTCCCCCCTGAGCAGTGGAGAGGAATTGCAGCAGTCAGCAGCAGGGACAGTGTCTCCTGGCCCTTCCCTCCTTAGAGCCTCGGAAAGCTCACGCCCACCAAGATGCTAATGACTGAGGGAGGCCTCCTGGGTTTACCCTTCCAGGCATTTTTAATTTTAATTCCAATGTAATTAACGTGCATATCAGTTTCAGGTGTACAATAGAGGGATTCAGCAATTCCGTGCCTTACCCTGTGCCCACCACAAATGTACTTCTCATCCCCAACACCTATTTCACCCATTCCCCCACCCACCTCCCCTCTGGTCACCATCAGTTTGTTCTCTAGAGTGAAGAGACTTCTGGGTTGTCTTTTTCTTTGTTCCTTTGTTTTGTTCCTTAAATTCCACATAGGAGTGAAATCACATGGTATTTGTTTTTCTCTGATTGTATTATTTCACTTAGCTTTGTACCCTCTAGATCCATCTACATTGCAAATAACAAGATTTCATTCTTTTTTATGGCTGAGTAATATTCCATTCTTTATCCATTCATCTGTGGATGGACACTTGGGTTGCTTCCATATCTTGGCTGTTGTGAATAATGCTGCAGTAAACATAGGGGTGCACATGTGTTTTTGAATTAGTGTTTTCATATTCTTTGGGTAAATACCCAGTAGTGGAATTACTGGATCATATGGTAATTCTATTTTTAATATTTTCATACTATTTTCCACAGCGGCTGCCCCTGTTTGTATTCCCACCAACAGTGCATTTAGGGTCCTTTTTTCTCCCCAACCTCACCAACACATGGTGTTCCTTATGTTTTTGATTTTAGCCATTCTTCCAGGCACTTTTAAGATTTTATTTATTCGAGAGAGAGAGAGAGATAGCGAGAGAGAGCACGAGTGGGGGGAGGGGCAGAGGGCAAGGGAGAAGCAGGCTCCCCACTGAGCAGGGAGCCCGTCGCTGGACTCGATCCCAGGACCCTGGGATCATGACCTGAACCGAAGGCAGACGCTCAACTGACTGAGCCCCGCAGGCGCCCCCCAGGCAAAATCAAAAATTTTTGAGGTATAACTTACAGACCATAAAATTCACCCTTTTTAGACTATAGAATTCAGTGGCTTTTAGTATATTCACAAGGTTGAACGACCATTACCACTAATTCCAAAACACTTTCATCACCTCAAAAAGAAACCCCATGCCTATTAGCATTCACTCCCCATGCCCCCACCCCTCTGCTTCTGGCAACCACAAATCTATTTTCTGCTTCTATGGATTTACCTATTCTGGACTTTTCATATAATTAGAGTCATACAGTATGTGGCCTTTGATGAGTGCTTTCTTCCACTTACCATAATGGTTTTGAGGTTCGTCCATACTGTAGCACATACCAGTACTTCTTTCCTTTTCATGGCTGCACAGTACTCCATTACATGGCTAGTCCACATTTTGTTTATCCCAGTCAATGATTTGGGTTGTTGGGTCATCCAAGTTTTTCCCCATCTGGGCTTTCATGAATAATGCTGCTGTAACATGCAGAACAAGTTTTTGGTGCGCACACAGGTGTCCAGTTCTCTTGGGTATATACCTAGAAGTGGAATTGCCTGGCCATATGGTAACTCTGTTTAATTTCTTGAGGAGCTACCAGACTGTGTTCCAAAGTGGCTGCACCATTTTATATGTCCCCCAGCAAGGTATAGGGATTCCACATTCTCCACATCTTCACCACCACGGGTTCTGGTCCATCTTTTTTATTATAGCCATCCAAGGGGGGTGTGAAGTGGCATCTCACTGTGATTTTGATTTGCATTTCCCCGATGACCTTCCGGGAAGATTTGCGTGTAATAGGAGACAATGCTTTAGTCTATGGAAAATTATCATCAGGCCAAGTTGACCAGACGAGCTCCTGGATGGTAGTAGAAGGCACCTTACTCCGAAAAATCAGATGTTCATTTGCTCATGACAGATATTTGTAAATACTTGTTAGGCACCTGTTACATGTCATGCACTACTCTAAACACTGGAGTTCATTGGTGAACGAGACAGACATGGACCCTGCCTAGATGGAGCTTACATGCTGGTGGAGGAGCTCGGCATTTAATTATGTTACAATAAGTACTCTAAGTACAAGCGTATGCAGCTAAGAGAAAGGGAGGAGCCTGGGCAGCCTCTCTGAGACACTGATATTTTGGAAGTCCTGGCCAGGAAGACCCCTAGCTTGTTAGAGGAGCTGGACTAAGCCGGTACAGTCTTAAGATACCGCAAGAGAGGGACAAGACATGAAGTGGGAGAGGAGTTGGGGGCCTTTATGCTGAGGGAAAATGGAAGCCATTGGAGGATTTTGAGAATGGAAGTGCTTGATCCCTTTTACCTATTTTAAAGACCACTTTGACAGCAGGGAGGCAAAAAGGGGAGAGCTGAAGGCAAGAGTGAGGGCAGAAAGACCAGTGAGGAGGCTGCTGCGGTCATCCAAGAAAGGGACCGTGGAGGCCTGGGCTGGGAAGTGGTGGCGACATGTGGCCGGAGCCTTGTGAACAGGTAGAAAGACAGCCTCGGTGATAGATGGATGGGGAAAACAGAGGAGGAGAAGAAATGAAAGATGCCCTCCAGGTCTTTGGTCTGTGCTGCTCAGTCAGTGGGACGAGTAAGCCTGGGGAAGCAAGTGGCCTGGCAGATGATCAGGAGCCCCATTTGGGGAGACTAGGGGCCATCCCAGTTGGGGGGGGGGTCAAGGGAGCAGCCAGACTCTCCAACTTGGAGTGCAGATGTCACCTTTACTTCCCCAAGCGTGGGCAGACACAGTGAAGAAAGACGGATCTGCTGACAAGGGAGCATAGACATGCTGCCTTGGGGGGAGTCCAGCACAGGCCGTGCATCCCAGCTGAGGCCACATCTTCCTTCGGGAGCCATCGCCTGCCTCCCAAGGCCTCCATGAGCACAGACATGCACGTGGACAGGCCCAGGTATACAGCTGTGGCCCCAGCCACCATCCTCCCTGCTGTCCACTGCTCAGCCAGCATAGCTATGGGCAGTCTCTGCCACCCACGGCCACAGAGGTAATCAAGCCTGTGGTCCACAAGCCAAGACTTCTCTGCCTTAGCCAACACCCACGAGAGGACCCAAGCCTGTGGTCCACATCATATCTGCATTCGCCGGCTCATGTCAAGCCTTGGGGCTGACATGTTCTTCCACGGGGGACTAGCTGGCTGGTGAGGATGCTCAACCAGGCGTCGGGAGCCCTGCGGCCTTGTCACAACACACACTGACTCTGGCCAGGCATTCCCCTGCCCCTTTCCTTCACTCCTCCTTGGCAACATAACTGAAGGGCAGGGCAACCTCTGGTGTCCTCCAGAGCAACGGATTTTGCAACTCGCAGGCAGGGTCACCTCAGCTATTTCTCTCTGTCCCTTTCTTGGTTCCCTGGGTCTCCCTGACCCAGAGTGGGCAGCGACCAGCAGAGGCCTCCTGTCCCAGCTGAGTGTGGCGGTGTGTGTGGGAGGAGACCTCCACAGAGGCGGGGCTCAGGGGGGCGGTGGGCCAGAGCGGCCACAGGCACGATGTGGAGGGGAAAGCGGGAGCTGGCCCTGCCCGCCGGGTTTTATCGGCGAGCTCCTCAGACATACACAGAGGCAGAGATGTGTATATACCCCCAGTCCCCGCGCTCCATCTGTCTCCCACATGTCTAAACACTGAGGGCGCCAAGTGCCTGCCCTCCCCCTCCTCCTCCCAACCCCATCACCACGGGGAGGGGGCGGGGAGGGACTCGACACCCCTGAGGAGACAGGAGCAGCCGAGGTAGGGCGGGCCACCTCAGGCAGGAGGCCGCTGCTGGGTGGGAGCAAGAGATGCTGGGAGCCCCAGAGGCTGAGGTGCTACCCAGTCTGGATATACATGGCCCCAGGCATTAGCTCACAGATGGAAACCAGCACTGGGGGCAAGACTTTTCCCTTGAAACCAGGTTTCTGGATGCCATCCCCGGCAGGGGGCGGGGCGGGGGGGGGGCAGAACTTGAGTTATTTTCATTTAGCGAATGAATCTAATCCATCAGATGGGCGGTCTGGGTTGGCAGCCTGAAAGCCCCGTTTCACGCTCACCCAGCGTCCACGTCCCAGCCACTCTGCAGGCCTCTACCCATCCCACCTCCTCTCCAGCAACCTGACCTCCAGGGTTTATAGCCTGGGCTGTCGAGGCCTAGAGGCTCCCTTCAGGCGCAGCAGCTGCCTGAGTGGGGGAGGATGGGGCTGCCTGATGAGGGCAGAGGCAAAGAAAACCCTGGGTGCTTATGGAGAGGGGCACAGTGGCCTTTGTAGCAGTCCTGAGAGTCTTGTTCCCTCTGACAAAGGCGGAAGACGTGGGAGCTAAGATTCTCCTCATGTCTCTTGAGATCTTAGAGAACGAGTCTCCAGAAGGGCCGTTCCCCTCCAAGCCCAGCTCCCTTCCAGCCACCTCCTGGCCACCTCGAGATCCCAAGCAGTGCAGATGGATGTAGAGGTCTCCTCCCTGCAGCCCACAAAAGACAGGATGTCTCATCTACCTATGGTGGAGCCCCCAGAAAGGCAGGCAAGAAGTGGGCTCTTATTCCAGGTAGAAGGAGCATTTTCCGCTAGCTTCTCATCTCCTCCCAAATAGAGAAAATCGTCCTGGCCTTTGGAGGTTTGGGTACTTCGGCCCAGAGTACAGGTGCAGGGTGGTGCTGGGCAAATGGTCAGAGCTCCTGGTGGCCTCCCCTTTGCCTTGGTGGTGACTGGGAGGAACCACCAGACCTCCCCTCTCAAGTTATTCCTGCGGTTCCTGATCTTCCAGCTCTGAGATGGGCCATGACGGGCCAGCAAAGAGGTGGTTCCTGGGGCCCAGAGGTGGTCTTAGTGGGTCACTGGCACGTGTCTCTCATACCTCCAGTGAGTACCACTCTGTCATCCTGGTCGGGGCACGCCCGGAAGTGCAACGAGACAGCCAAGTCCTATTGTGTCAATGGAGGTGTCTGCTACTACATCGAGGGCATCAACCAGCTCTCCTGCAAGTAAGTAAGCGGTGGGGGCGGGCAGAGGGGCAAGAGTAGGGTGAGAGAGGCTGGGGCAGAAGCCGAGGGCTCTAGGAAACGTGCGCTTCAAGCCACGGACATGGGGTCCCCAAGGGTTGTAGACAGGGAGGTTTGCCCCTCTCCCTAGCCCTTCCTGGGCATCGAGGGAACTGTCTACCCTCAAGAGCTCCGGGCTTCTGCAGTGCCAGTTTCTCAGGCCCCGACCCACCCCACCTCCCAGTGTCCACCCTTTCGCTAACACCTTTTAGGGAGCTGGGGATGCCAGTCTATGCCCTAGGCACTGAGCCCTGGGTTCTCTCTCTCTCCCCCCCTCCCGCTCTCTCTCCCCTCCCCTCTGTCTCCTCCCATCTCTCAGCAACTCTCCAAACTCTGTTCTGATGAACATCTCCCAGGGTGTGTCTTCCCCAGCAGTGAAGAGCTTGGCAGGGTCAGGCAAAGCACAACTCCCAGTGCCCTTGGTAGTGAAGGGTCTGCTCTCCTAGCCTTGAGGGGAGAAGAGGACCCTGCATCCAGTGCTCACCGCAAGACCTGGCTGCTCTCCCTGCCCAGGGTCCAGCTGTGCCCTGGGTGCTACTTGTTCCATTTCCGACCCCAGCCCCTCTCTGTGGAGTGAAAGGACACCAGTGAGGATACGGCTCTGGGTGTGGCCCAATGAGGGAGGTCAGGGTTGAGGAGGAGCTCAAGCTGGGGCCCCTCTCCCTCCAGCCAGGCAAGGCTCCCCAGCAGGATCTCCATCCCGCTCCCCTTAACCAGCAGGGCAGATGGGAGCACAGTAGCCCAGGGCTTGTTCAGGTCCAGCTGTCCATTCACAACCCACAGTTGTGAATGAGGAGCCGGAGGGAGAGCTTGGTGAGAGCAGCACAGGTTCTGGCCAGATCGAGGTGGCGGGGGGGGGGGGGTGGCACTAGTTCACAACTTTGGGTTTTCAAAGCACCCCAAGCCTAGGACCCTGGCGAGGTGCCACAGTTGCCCCATTCCCATGGCATCTGGGCAGAGGCCACCAGAGTACTGGTGGAGATCAGAGAGAGGCGTTTGCCCTTCCCACAGACAAGGTCAGATTCAGCACTTCTCAGCTCTCCTGCCTCTGGACTCCAGCTCCAAAGCTGCATCTCCCCATTGACTACAGCCTTAGCCCAAGACCCCTCCACCTCACAAGGTGACAATGAGGGTGCCTCCTTGACACTTTCCCCTCAGTACTGGGCGGGGGGGGCCCGGACTGCCAAGCAGATCTGGGCCTCTTGCCCCAGCTGGCCTCCTTTGCTGGCCTCCCCCCAGCCCCACCCTTCACCTGCTGCCATCCCCTTACTGGCCTCCCCCATCCTGAATTTCCGGGGACTGTCCCAACAACAACAGCAGGTCCCCCAGGGAACTTCTCAGCCTGGACTCAGCCCCTCATCCTTCCCCTTCTTCTGCCTCTAGGAGGCTGCCACATTCGTGCAACAGACCCTGGGGAACATTCTAGCTGTGAAAACACTCTGAGCTCTCTGCAGGAGATCTATAGAAACTCATAAGGGTTCTGATATACCTCACAGACATCCCCCAGCCCTGTACGCCCCTCTTCTTTTACTCCCCGACACACACACCCACACACACACACACACACACCAGGCCTTTCCTCTTCCCTAGCCCCTCGGACACTGGAACCTTGAAGGAATCTAGCAGCATCACTGAGATCAGCCCTGGCTCCAGGCAGGGAAGGCTTCAGCCACCCAGGACAGGTGCCAGGGCCGAGGAAGGCCATGGGGGCCCAGAGCTCCAGTGCTAGCGTTCAGTGTGGAAAGGGGTGTGATGAGCTATATATATATGGGTTCCCACAGGGTCCTGCCAGCAAGGCTGTACCCCTAGGACCCTCCTAGTCACACCCAGCTAAATCTGAGAGAAACAGAGGGCAGGAGCCTCAATCATTGCGAAGATGGTGTCCTGTGGGCAACTGGGGTTCACTACTTAGAACTTGAAGTTGGTACCCCAAACCACGACCTCCCCATTTCAACCTGCCCTAGGTCAGTCCCAGCCAGGGCTCCTGGAACCAACTTTCCCTGACTCCCTGAGCCCTCAGGGGAGAGGGGCGTCCCCGGTGAGGATCACTTTCAGGAGGGCAGGTCCTCAGAGCTGTGCTGGAGAAGGACAGGGGGGAGGGGGGCAGGGCAGAACCCAGAGGCCATTCTGGGGGCGGGTGAGCTGGGAGGGAAGTGGGGGGCAGGCCTCTTGGGATTCCTGATGACACCTGAATGGAATAAAAAGGAAAGAATCTAGGAAATGGAACTCACGTCTTACCATTTGTGCTGTTTGTTTACTTTTTATTTTGATTTTTTTGCATTTCCGCTTAGCTTGGATAATGAAACTAGACTGGTCAGTTTCATTCCAGTTTCTATACAAATCAGTTTTCCTTCCTGGTTTTCTGACACTTGTCGTTGTGTATTGGTTCTGAGCCCTGCAGGGAGTGTTGGGAAGCAGGCACACTCCATCCCTCCTGTTTTTCTGGAATTCAGAGCCAAAATAAACAGTATCACGGATACTGAATTTTGTTTTAAAAAAGAAAACTTAGGGGGATTGGAAAATGGGGGTCCAAATCCAGGCGACTGTCCCCTGTCTGGGCCAGACAGGGGCCTCCGCACTTCTCGCTGCTTTCTCCTCTTCTCTCCGTGTTTTTGTGGAGCACGGTTGGTGCGTGACTCTTGGGGACTGGTTCAGGGGATGATGACAGAACAAGACTCTTTCCAGCCCTGTGCACATACCAGTGGCATGCCTCCCTCTCCCATCAAGCTCATCCCCCCCCCCCCCTGCCCCCCCCCATGTCCAGGTGGTGCTCCCATCCCATCCCCATCTGCCTGCTCATCGTCTCCACATCTCCACCCCACCCCTCATGAGGCCGGAGACCCTCCCCCCCTCCAGTGCCCGGGGCACACGCTCATCCTTCATCCTCCCCCTCCCCCGGGTGAGGGCAGCACACATGGCATTATCCCCAGGCTACCAAAAGGAGAAACTGAGGCCCGGGAGGTGGGTGGGAAAACGGGGAGGCAGAGCCCCAACCTGTCACCCCAGATATAGCCCGTGGGCTCTCCTCTCTGCCCGTCTCACCTCTGCTCTTCTCCAGCCCTGGGCACAGACCTTCCCACAGTCACAGTGGGTGACCTGGGGGAGGACTGAGAAAGCTATGACCTGCCGCTCCTTCTCATCTGGCCCTTGGGCCCCGGACCCTCAGAGGGCCCATCCCTGTTTCAGTGGGAACCTACCCACTACCAGCCAGCTCCCCACATGGAGTCAGAACCCCCCCCCGTGGTTGAGAGGTTTATGCAGCCCGAACCCCGCTACCTGGTCCTGAGCGCAGGGTAGCAAGGCTGTAGGCCCACCCCCAGAATCGTCCCCAGGGAAGCCCCAGGCTCCTGGACGTGGCTCATTCTTAACAAGGAGTAAGGAGAGTCCAGGAGCCTGCTAGAAAGATCTAGTACCCAAAGAACAGTATGGGGTGCCCATCGCCCACTGCCCTCTTTTGCTCAGCCAGTGGGGAAGACGCTTCCCCAGGGCAGGAAGATTAGGACCATATTACACAACTCCAGGGGGCACATTCGTGTTAGAGACCGTACCCATGGTGCCACCTGGAGCTGTACAACTCAGTGGCCATGAAAGGTAGGAGACTACAGTCGGGTTAGTCCAGGCTGGGTGTGGGATCAGCAACGCAGGGATGTGCTTACTTGTCGTCATTGGTCTCCAAGAGCCATGGGACAGCATCCCTGCCTGTCAGCAGTGGGAATCAATTCCCCCTTTGCCCCTGAACTACCCCACTCTCTCTCTCACACACACACACAAGAGCCGGGCTAATCTCAGACATTGGACACAAACCTATCTCTTTCCTATTCCTTTGAGGATTCTGAGAGTCATTTTGGCAACTTCCTGGGTCTTTATCCTTCATCCCCAAAGCTGCTGCTGCTTTAATAATCACTTCTCCCCTCCAGCCCCCACCCCAAGTGGACATCAATCTCTGAGAGCTGAGGAAGGAGAGCTGAGCCTGACTGGAGCTGGTTGGGAAGCCTTAGCAATGACCTGCATTTTCCCGGGTGGGATGCTTAGACCAGAGAAGGATGTACTGACAAGGTGGTAGCCTCCTCCTCCTCGCCACCCTGTTCAACAGGATGAGTGTGCATCAAGTCCATTATAACCCCCACCTCCCGCCACGTTCTCCAAACACGCTTCCCAGCCCTCCACAGCTACGCACTGGCCAGGCATTCCTACACATCTACTACCAGCCCTGCAAGGACCAGCCTCCTGCCTCCCCTGCGGGAGACGCCATTGAGGCCCAGAGAAACTCCAGCTGCCTGCCCACCAACCACTCCGAGTCCCTCAGGCTAGACTGGGGGCAACAGGAGTTCTGCGAGTGTCTATCACAGCCAACGGCAACCATCCCCTATAAGCTCAAGGGGTTGCTGATGGTTGGTATACACAAGAATGCTCAGAGGTCGAGTACACTCCCCTCTTGAGGAGGTTTACTGATTCATGTGGAACACCTGACCTATTATTGAAGGAACACTGGCGATGGAGTTACCTAATTTCCCAATAAGGAAGAGGCAGCCCAAACCCATCTTTGAGCAGGGGAATGGGGGTGGGATGGTCAGTCTGGCCCTGTCTTTAAGCCTCCCTTAGGTATCTAGCCTTGCCGGGGTTCAGAAGATAGTACAGGGCTGGGCATGTCTCCCAGAAACCTGCAGGACAGGGACTCGAGAATAGAGTGGCAGCCAGAGAGAAGACCGTGCACGGGGGGTTGGGGGGGGAGACAAAAACAGGGAGCATGGATGGTGCTCTGCAGCTGCAGAGGACCCAACAGGGGAGGACGCACTCCCACCAGAGCCAGACAGTGATGGAGGAGCAGGTCACAGGGAAAGGACAGGCGGCCCAGGCAGCCAGGAGACCCCTGAGTGGAAGAGGTTTCAGGGCCCTCAGGGAGCCTGCTTTGGCCCTGCCCCGCAATTGTGGTTCTTGCCACGTGAGGGCAGATGCCCCACACCTGGCCCCGGCAGGCCAGCTTTGAGACGCTGTAAATTCCGGCTCCTCTCCACCTCACCTGTTCCCCACTAAGCTTTGTTTTCCCCCCATGTGTATTGCTTCAGGGCAGCCTTCCCCAAACCATGTTCACAAGGGTTCCTCAAAAAACATCTTCCATGGTCAAATAAATTTGGGACATACTGGAATATTTAGCTCTTTCCTTCTACAAAACTTTTCCTGGCCTTTCATATGCCAGTGCACATTGCAGCTCTACAAGGAAACCTGGGGATGGATTTCTTAAATTTATTTGGCCACAGAACCCTCTTTGAGAGAACAGATGGAACATCTCCAAGGTCCCTTTTGTCACGGGCATACAGTCTAGAAACAGCATTCCGGAGGTCTTCCTTTGAGCTTTCTGGGGGCTGTTTCGTGGATGAGAAAACCTGCCCAGGGCCCTGGAGAGAAGCCGTTGGTAGAGTCTGGAAGGAGTGGCTTCCCAGAACTTGGTCTTCTGGAAGGCTCCCAGCACCCTGCCTGCCTGCCTGGCTCCAAAGGGCTACCGTTCCAGCTTCACGGGGTCCCAGGCAGGTCAGAAGGGAAGTTTCACTGGCCACAGGACAATTGGGCATGAGGTTCCCAATCTCCCCACCCACTTTCCCTAAATCATCCTCCTCTCCACCCCACCCCTGCCCCCCACCACCCACGGAGCAACATCTATGAGAGAGATTTGGAAGATTTGAGCCCTCCCCCCAGCCCTGACTCCAGCCCCTGCAGCGATGAGTGTGCCCCAGTGCCCGACTTGGTTTTCTCATTCATCACTGTGCACTTTGATTTCTAACCTGAGCCTCGCGGATGATGCCAGTTTGTTCTGTGATTTTTCCCCTTTTCCTTCTCCAGATGTCCAAACGGATTCTTCGGACAGAGATGTTTGGAGAAACTGCCTTTGCGATTGTACATGCCAGATCCTAAGCAAAGTATGTTTGAAGATACAAACACAAGTCCCCGCTCCTTAGAAAGCTTCCGGGTGCAGTCCCCCCCAACGTAGGGCCTAGGGCCAGGGGTGTTGGTTGTTTTGATCTTTGGCTGTTTTGTTTTTCTTTTTTGTATTTTGGTTTGTTAGTTCTTTTGTTTTGTTTTGTTTTGCTTTGTTTTTCATTTTTGGCCTAATCCTTGGGTTGCAAGTTCAGGGCTGCAGGTAAGGGGCAGAGTGGCGAGGCCAGTACAAAGCGCTAACGGTGGCAAGGAACCCAGCCGGCATCGGCAGGAGCCCGTGCCGGGGTGTTGCCGTGCCTGTGGCTCGCTATCCTGGCTCTCTCTTTCTGGTTTTCTTTCTTTTGGTAGGTGTCCTGTGGGATACACCGGGGACAGGTGTCAGCAGTTCGCAATGGTCAACTTCTCCAGTATGTCTCTTTCTTCTATTTCTTTCCTTCCCTGGTGACTGACAATCTCCCGAGCGGGAGGGCTGGGGCCTTGCTTAGCGAGACTTAGAAGGGGCCGGGGGAGCGGGGGAGTGGTGGTTGTCCTGGGCTCAGCCCTCGGGGCTCACTGGAAGCCTGTCTGGAGGAGACGGATATGCCCCCTGCCACCCCCACCCCACCCCACCCACCTCTTCCTCTTTGCGGGGCGCTGGGCGCAGTGATACCTCGTCCTCTGTGCAGGCGGCTGCAGCCGCGCTCCGGGCAGCCCCTCCCAGGTCAGGCAGCCCGGCCAGCAGCGGGGAGAAGCCTGAGCAGGGCCCTCACCTGCCTTTTAAGACCTGTCTGGGGAGGCCACGTGCTGATGGGGCCAGGCAGCGAGTGCATGCACGTGTGGGCTGGTGTGTTTGAGAGAGAAACAAGTTCTCGGAGAGCCTGTCTCTGGGTCTGGCCAGAGTTTGTTTGGTTTTGATTTGGGGTGATGGGGGAGAGTGGGGAAGGAGGGGTGGAGGGAGAACAAGCCCCAGGGCAGTGGTTTCCATGGAGGCCAGAGACCAGAGGCCTTTCTGTGGCTCCAGGATAGGGCGGGGGGGGGGGGGGGGGGGGTTGCTGCCTGCTACGAGATAGAGGGAATGAGGATTCAAGGCATAATGGGTGAGTCTCTCTAGGCCCTCTCTGGTCTCAGTCCCCATCCAGAACTTCATTCCCTTCCTTTCTCCTGCTTGTGAGGCTGAAGCTTTCTGGTTTGCACAGTGAGCTGGAAAAAAAAAAACGTGAGTCCTGCCGCAGAAAGAGGAGAAAGTAATTGTGGAATGTTTTGAGGCTGGGAGCAATTTCTTCAAGTGCCACCAGGTGGAGGTGGAGCAGAGCAGAACCAGGCCAGCTGCGGCGGGGGGGGGGGGGGGGGGCAACACGTGGGGCCCACGGTCTGTTGGAGGCCCCGCCCAGGCAGCCACCCTCCAGAACACTCCAGGCTCCTGCTTGGCCCACCCCCACCTCCTCCTCTCCAAGGAGGACAGCTGGGTCCTATGCAGAATGAGGAACCAAAGTGGCGGTGCCTGGGCACAGAGAGAGGGAGCTCCCGAAGAGCCAAGAGCAGAATGCGGGGGGAGGGGCGCGTTTAGGTGGCCCTTGGGAGGGGAGGGGTTTGCGGGTTTGGGTCTCAGGGTGGAGTGAATGAGTCTTCCCAGTCCTCCTTAGGCCACAGCACAAAAGCCTAGAAATCTTCACCTCCTTCTCCCTGCTAGGGCCCGGAAGCCAAGACTTGAGGAGGAAAGTAGAGGCCCCAGGGAGGTGGGGGCTGGGCAGCCCAGATGGTCAACTGTCTTGGCGGGAGTGTGGGAGGCAGCACTCTCCCCAGGCCCCTCCGGTTGGAGGCCAGGGAGGAAGGCTGTGGGGCTAAGAGCAGAGCTGTGGGCAGGGCATGTGGTCTAACAGAATTCTTCGGAGTCCAGGCTCCAGGAAGAATTGCAGAGTCAGATCCAGCCCCACTGGAGGGCCAGAGGTCAGGAGGGGCCTCAGGAGGGAACAGAGCAGCCAGGCCGAGGCTAAGGAGAAGGGTAGAGAGGCAGTGGAGGGCCTGATTCCTTTGCACCCTCAGTCCCAGAGCCTCCCTGGCTTACGGGACTGTTCTGGACAGGGAGTCCCAGCCCATCGTGAATCAGAGGAGCAGAGCCTCCAGAACTCGGCCACTGGCCAAGCTTCTCTGCCAGCTGGGCTGCTTCAACTTTCGGCTCAGAGCTGCTCAGAGGGGCAGCAGGGCCCCGGGAGCCCAGAAAAAGCCTAGAAATGCTGCCACAGGCCTTTCTGCCTAGTGTTATCAGGTTCCTTGCTGTTACCTTTTCGGGAGGATTTACATTCTTCACACACTTGGCCGAGAGCACTTCGTGTATTGTTCTATCAGATACTTATTGCAAAGGCAGTAGAAAATGCTAGCTGAAGTGTTCGGGCTTTGGATTCGGACAGATTTGAATGAAGATGCCAGCCAGCTGCTGAGCTTACCAGTTCTGGGGCCTCATTTAACCTCTCTGAATCTGTTTTCTCATCTGCAAAATGGGGACAGTAACATTTATGCCTCGAGGGTTGCCGTGAGGAAAAAGTGCAGTGATGTGTAGGAAGGGCTCAGCAGAGAGCCTGCTGCCGTGGTTGGAGGGCAGCTTAGCACCTCTCCCAGCTACAGCTGGTATGGGGTGGGGGGCGGGAGGGCCAGCACCAGTGCCCTGGAGGCTGGCTCCCAGTCCTGAGCAGTGTCTGACTTTTCCCCTCCACCTAGACAGCCTGTAAACCAGATTACCTTTTGCAGTGGCCACGGAAACAGGGCCTGTGGCCACGACAGCACTTTGAAGCTTCTCCTCTTCCCCTGACAGCCCCTCCGTTTCCCAAGAGTCAAACCCTGTGCATCTATATACCCCCCAAGTGAAAGAACACCCACACACCTACAGACACACACACACACACACACACACACACACAAGCATATACTCGCACATGTGCAAACACGCATGTACTCACACGTACTCAGACACACAAGCACATGCCTGCACTCATGCAAAGCACATCTGCTCACCCCCGCACACACCTGTGCAAACGCATGAGCACGTGTTCTCATCAGGGGCCCGAATCATGGCCTCCTTGGCCAGGCCCCCGTCACTGCGTGTCATTGGACACGGCCGGGATGATGACTTTGTTTGTTGTCTGGTAAACCTGGCATCAGGGAGTCCAGCATCAGGTTGCCATGGTCATTGGTCAGTACCCAGTAGAACCCGTCTGTGATTCAGTGGCCCTGCTCCATCCTGGCGGGGTGGCAGCCTATGAACATGCTGAGCTGGAAACATCTTTGACAGGAGCGGACTTAGCCACAGGCCCCTCAGACTCTATCCCCAGTGAGAGGGAAGCAGGGCTGCCTTCCTAGAGACTGGGCAAGCTCTCAGTGACCTCACCAGTCCTGTCGGCCTCCACTGGCCCACCCCAAACAGGACTGGCCTTTGGCTGAAAGGGGAGGTCCCTTAGGAGGCCCAGATGCTGCTGCTGCTTGGTTCCCAGAGCAGGGAAGCAGAAGAAAACTCTTCAATGGCTTTCGGACCCCACCCGCTTCTCCATTGGTGGTCATTTTCCTCACAACCAGCAGTTGGGCCCAGAGACTCAATTGGCAGGAAGGGCACCGCCCTCCCTGCCGATGGCCCCCACGTTCTCCTTCCTCTAGAGGAGAGGAGAATGTCAGAACACAATCTCACCCCCTCCCTGGACCTCGCGAACTGACTGTGCCCGCGGGGAGGCCATACACCAGGCTCCTGTACGCACACCGAGCCTCCCGCCGTCCAGGCCGCTCGCCGCTTCCTCTCACTACGCGCAGCCCCTTTTGACAGATGAGGAAACAGAGACTAGACTCGCCCACGTGCACACAGCACAGTAGCGACAAAACTGAGACTTGGAGCCTGCACACAGGTGTTGATCACATGAGAATGGTAGGTGAGCTTTTCAGAAACACCGCTGAGATCTCTGGGCTCCCACCCGAGACCCTGATCCCATTGTCTGGGATGACTGTGAAGCCCAGCTGGGTGGCAGAGCTCCCAGAGATCCAATTTAACAGAGCCTGAGAGGTGGATAGGCCGAGAGCACTTGGAGATGCCGTGGGTCTGGGGCAGGGCTGATCCTTGGGCGTAGCCCTTTGATCTAACCCCTCTAGGGTGTGGGTGCCCACTTCACAGGGCTCTGAAAGCACACATTTACAATAAGATCCCACTTCAGAAAGTGCAGTTGGCCCCCCATTTGATACACGTATTCCGCAGCTGAACCCACCTGGCTCTTCCTACAAGTTGCTGTTGGCTTTCCTAAGTAGTGAAATCAGTCTCAAACCCCAAGGCCTAGGCCCCATAGGCTTCTAGGGTGTTGGAGGTATGTGGAGAAGTGACCTGCTGCCTGAAGCCTCCTCCCCTCCCCATAAACTCAGGAGTCTCCAGGCCCGTGCTCCCAGTAGGTGGGCAGGCCAACCACGCCTTTGGAGGCAGGACACAGACAAGGGCCAGTCTGGCCCCCCCCCCCCGCCCCATGCCCTTGTTCTGAACAGAGAAAAGGGCCCCATGAATGAGCGCAGGGCTGAGCAGGCGGTCTCCAGGAGGGGCGTGAGAATGTGGAAGGCCTGGCACCGGAGCTGGGGGGAAAGCAGGACTCCTCGGACAGACACCCCACTCACCTTTCCGAGGTGTCCCCTGGGGACGTCTGCCAACTGACTTTTGCGCCTCTGCCTCCCCACCAGGTACTAACCCCACAGCTCATCTCTAAAGAACCTGCCCTGCCTGCTGATCCTAACATTTCCTCTCTCCAACCCCCTCAGGGTTCTCGGGGACTGGGTGCCAGGGCAGGGGCTCAGGAGGCCGGGAGGGGACACCACTAACCTGCTTTCACCTCACAGGCTGGCTGCTGGTGTCTGAAGAGTCCTGACCAACGTTTCTCTCTCTCTCTCTCTCTCTCTCTCTACCCCCCCTGCCCTCCCCCACCCTCCCTGCTCCATCTTTCTCTGTATCTTTCCCTCCATCCCTTCCCCTCTCTGACCCTCCTCTCTTCTGCCAGAGCACCTTGGATTTGAACTAAAGGGTACGGAGCTCTATGTATCAGTCAGTGCCATGCACAGCGCCCCTCTCCACAGCCTCTGACACCATGCGCACTGGACGTTGAGTCTCCTTTCCAAAACATGGAAAAGGGATGAGTCCAAAAATCTCCCCTGGCCCTACCAAGATGTCCTATCATAAACTACATTGATTTGGGGGAGACAAGAAGCTCAGAATAGCAGAGCACCCCGGGGTTCAGACTGTGCACCCAGGGTACAGCAGCACCCCCTGGCCTGAGGCCAGTCACTGGGAGGCCTCCCAGGGGAGCAGCCTCCAGAGCTGGTGTCCTGAAGCTACAGCATCCTGGCTTGGAGAGTTGTGCAGAGAGGCATCCTCTTCAGTTCGACTCTAATCCTCCTTCCCGTTCCCACTTCCATTTCCATTGCTTTTCCTTCTGCACTGCACTGGCAGCTGATCTCACCCATTTGTCTCTGCCCCCTGCCCTGTGTCTGTCTGCCGGGCTCTGCCATCCGCTTGAGGCTGTCACTCCCTCCATGATCTCTCTCCACAATGGCACGCGTGTTCTTCGCCTGTGGGCAAGACAAGCGAGGGTCTAGGGTGGACTGGCCTCTGGTGCTTGCCCTCCTGCTCCCCGGCTCAGAACCTGACCTCCCTCCCACTACTGTCCCTCGGGCCCCTGGGAGACACCTTGAGTGGGAAGGGACTTGGAGGGGTTGGTCTGTCCTCTCTCGGTGCTGGGAGGCTCCACCCTGGCCTCAAATGTCCAGACATGTTACAGCAGGAGAGAGGCAGGGACTCAGGAGTCGAGGCTTCGGTGGGGTCAGACCTCAGATGCGGTACAGAGCCTACAGTCCGAGGAGGCTTCTCAAGGCAGGACCGGAGAGGCCCTGGTTCCCTCACCGCCTTGCCCCTATCAGCTCTTCTCGGGAGATAGGGCTCAAAGTCTGTGAAGAGTGTGTCTATCTGCTGATGCTGACAGGTTGGGAGGAGAGGGGCCGAGTCTGCGTGGTGTGTGTGATCGTGGCAGGATGCGTGCGGTGAACCTGCCGGGGGGGGGGTTGTGCTGTGGGGGGTGGATGTCACACACCTTGTTTGGCCCCCCAAACAGCATCCCATGCGGGATGCTGCGTGCATGAAGGCGCGCGGTGGGACATCTTTGTGTGAAGGCTGAGCGTCGTGCAGGTGCAACTGTGAGGGTAGGGAGGTGAGCGGCAGCATGTGCAGATATGTGTCTGTGTCTGTAATGGTGGTCTGGATGTCCATTCATGCACCAACTCAACAAACATCTACTGAACCCCAGAATTTGCCAGACTATGGCGATCTGGCACACAGAGTCCCTGCCCTCCTGGTGCTCAAATTCACAGGATGAGACAGACAACAAACAGGAAAGATATCAGGTGGTGGTAAGTGCCATACCAAAAATAAAAGAAGGTAATGGGAGGGTGCCTAGCTGGGGAGGGAGTGACCTTAGCTGAGTGGCCAGGAAAGGCTTAGGCGATGAGCTAACATCTGGGTCAAAACCTGCTGGAAAGTAGGCAGCCCTGCCAACAAGTGGAGGAGAGTGTTTGAGGAGGGGGCGCGGCAAGTTAGGGACGGTGGGTGGAGTGGGCTTGCCTGATTCAGTGGACGGAAGGAATGGCAGCACCTCTGGACACAGCAGACACGGGGACTGGACCAATGATGAGATGTAAAGGCAAGGCTGGGACTGTAACCCAGGCCTCCGAGGCCATGGTGCGTGTGTGGGCTGGATTCGAATTGCAGGGGGAGGCCATTGTGGGTTTTCAGCAGAGGAGTAAATGATCTGCTGGCTTTGGGGGCAGAGGACAGACAGGGTTGGGAGACGGGCTGGGGAGGAGTGGAAGCAGAGAAGCCAGTCAGAAGGTGCCCCAGCTGTCCAGGTAAGAGGTGACATCATCCTGGACTGAGGCTAGAAGTGGTGGAAGTGGTCAAATCCAGAATCTACTGGGGAGGCGGAGCTGAGAAGACTGGCTGAAGCGCCAGGTGTCAGAGCAGGGGCAGAGGAAGGAGTCATCGGCAGTGACTCCAAGGTCTGGGGCCTGAGCACCAGGAGAGGGGCTGCTGCCACTGACGACATGGGAAGGGCAGGGAGCAGGTTTCAAAGAGGCTGGGGAATCAACACTTCTGCTTGGCCATGGCCCTTGGGTAGAGGAGTCTGGAGCTCAGGGAGAAATCAGGGCAGGAGATACAAATCTGAGAGTCACCTGCATACAGATGGTTTTAAACTCTGAGCTGCGTGAGATCGTGAGAGAGGGCAGGTGGAGGAAAGAAAGAAGGCCGAGAGCCCCTTCTACTACCTTGCGGCCCACATGGAAGAGTAGGAAGCAGCAACTGAACAGGTCAGCCAGTGAGGGAGGCGGACACACAGGAGAGAGGGAGGAGTGGACCCAACAGAGGGAGTCAGCTGGGAGGGAAGCAAATGACCGGGGGACCTGGCGGTAGAAGGTTGTCAGTGACCAGGACCAGAGTGGTCTCAGAGCAGCGACAGGAGACCGATGCCCCATTGGAGAGGACTGGGGGGTGGGCAGGGATGAGAAGTGGAGGCAGGACATGGGCCACAGAGCCCAGAGATGGGGGTCCGGGGTGGAGGGCTGTTTAAGACCGCATGATCGTGTGTGTGCATGTGCTTCTCCGGACACGTGCGAGTGTACCTTTGTGGAGGCGGCTGTGTACAGATAGGCATCGTCCTAAACGTATGTGTGTCTGGAGGGTTTGTACTCCCAGTGTTTGCTGGTGGGTGTACGCAGGAGGTGCTGCAAGCCCAAGGACTCAGGGACATGTCCCGGGGCCCTGCCTGGGTGCTGGGGTCTAGCCTCCATGTGCTCCTGTGGAGGGGCCAGCTGACAGGTGCAGGGAGGGGCGGGGGGTGTCTAGGCTGCTGCTGTCACCTCTTTCCTTTTCTTCCTCCTGGTCTTCTCTGCTCTAGAAGGGCAGGAGTTGCCCCACCAAGAAGTGGGAGGTGGAGGGATAGCGGGTTATTTTTTGAGGGCTTTGAAGCCCAGCCTAGCTCAGCTCCTCAGAAAGGGGCTGCTCCTCGAGCACAAGAACCGTCCCAGGCACCAGGGGCTCTGCTGCCTCTTGGCTTCTTGAAAGCAAAAGGAAAGGCTGAAGTGGGCCAGGGCCACGTGCTGTCCAGGCCCAGGGACAAACCAAGGCCTTTCTCTCCACACCCCACTCCATGGGCCTGGTCTGCTCCGTCCCTGTTCCTGGCACCCCTCCTGGGTCCAGCCTCTGATTCTGATGTCCTGTCACCAGCCCAGGACAAGCCACTCTCCAACTTCTTGGCAAAGCTGAAATGGCAAGCCAGGCCTTTGCCCGGGGTCTGTTCACTGCCATGAAGAACAGCTCTCCCCCACCCATCCAGGCTCTTTGAAGCCACTAGGCCATTGTGGAGTAGGGCAAGGTTGCTGGTCAAGCTGGGTTGCCCTCCCCTATGGCCTCTGAAACTTCACCTCCATCCCACCCACCCCCTTCCCCCTGCATTTGCCATTCACACGCTCTGGGCAGGGTGTAAGGTTTGGGAAGGTGAATTCAGGGGTAGTCACTTGGGACCAGATCCATGAGTGGGGAGATTTCGGGGCAAGAGAAGGCAATCCAGGAGGGAGGGGCCAGCCGGGGAAGGAGGAGATGCAAAGGAGCTGGGAGGCCCTGAGCTGGAGGGAGCCCGAAGCTTTGGGGGCAGAGGGGAGGGTGTCCTTGCATCACTGTCCCCACAGATCTGCCTCCTGCACTGCCCCCTCACACCCTCTTCCTCTGCCTCTGCAGAAGCCGAGGAGCTGTACCAGAAGAGGGTCCTGACTATCACCGGCATCTGCGTGGCTCTGCTGGTGGTGGGCATTGTCTGCGTGGTCGCCTACTGCAAGACCAAGTGAGCTCCAGACACTCAGGCCTGCGGGGGGCCGCTAGGGATGCGCCTCCAGGGTGGCTTTCGTGAGGACAGTCTCTCTTCGCCCCCCACACACCCCCTCCCCACCCTCCTATGCCCTAACAGCCCCTTCAGGGGCCTCTGTAGCTGGTGCGGGGCCAAAGGGCTGGGCCAAGAAGCAGGAGCAGAGGGTAGAGGAGACAGGCCCCAGAGGAGTGAACAAGAATCAGCAAGAGCACAAGTGTTGGAAGAAGGCAGATCTGGGTTCGAATTCAGCTCTCCCATGTGCCATGACCCTGAGCAAACTGATGGACCTCTCTATAGAGTAGGGATGATCCTAGTAGGTACCTCGGAGGGCACCGTGAAGGAGCATCTGCCCTGTCAAGTAGGCAGGAGCGGGGGCAGTGTTGGGGGTGAGGAAGCACAGAGAGGAAGGCTACATTCCCAGGGGACAAAGAGACCTCGGGAGGCACTGTCTAGTCCCATCTGGGAGCGGTCTAGGCCAGAACACAGAGAAGATGGGGCCAGGTCCCCTCTGGGCAGAGGAAAGGTGAGGGCAGAACCTCGGGGCAAGGGAAGAAAGGTGCAGAAAGCGGGCTGCGCAGTTCCTAGAGAATAGTGCAAGCTGCCAGACAAACGCCGGAAAGGGTCAGTCGTGTTTCTAGAGCATGAGCAGCCCAGACCAGTTGGAGCAAAGGCCTGGGGTCAAAAAAAGAGAGGTATGAGTCTAAGGAGACAGCTGGAACCCAGATGGTACCATAGGGCACTGAATCCCAAGCTAGGCAGCCTGGGTTTATCCTATAAATGACAGGGAGCTCATGAAGGCTGTAGAGTGATGTAATACAGACAAAAATGATAGCTCTGTCCCATCCATTCTTATCTAGAAAGCAAGGGTCTGGGCATAACCACCATTTAGGGCACTGAGTCCCTCAGTCTTGACTCCTGCTACACCTATCTATGGGATCTAAGGCCCTGCCAGCCTTGGGAGTTAAGGCCCAAGGAGCCCAGAGGAGACTGGGCCCAAGAAGGAAAATTGAGGTCAAGAACTGGGGGGAAAGCAAAACCCTATTCTAACCTCCAGTGCATTTATCCGTTTCTTGAACAAACTTTCATTCGATGCCTGCTGGATACCAGGCCCTCTGCCAGGCGCATGGTCAGGGCTCTAAGCAATATGTCCAGTGTGACAGGATATGTCGCAGGGGGGCCGAACCTCAGGTGGAGGGCAAGAAGGGTTTCCCTGAGGAGGGACCTTTTAGGCTGAGCCTGGGGGGAGAGCAGGCATTGGCAGGTGAAGAGGCTGAGTACATCCCAGGGGTTGCAATAGTATGTGCAGAGCTCCCGAGACCAGAGAAGGCCGGCATAGGGGAGGATCAGAAGGAAGCCCTCCAAGGACACAGCAAGCTGGGGTGTGGAGAGGGCCGTGAGAGAGGGCCCATGAAGGGCGTTCAGCAGGGGGCTGACGTGACTAGACTTGATCATTACAGAACAAACGTATTAGGCACTTAATCTGGCCAAAGTAAAGTAGTCCCACGAGCCCCTGACCACAGCTTTGTTTTGTTTGATGGTCCTCGTTGCACTTTCCTGAAAGCACCTTGCTCATTAATTTATGTGTTTATTAATCTGCCTCCCCTACTGGCCTTCGAGCTCCATGAGGGTAGGGATTGTGTCCGTCTCCTTCTCTGTTCCGAAACAGCATCAGGCACATAGTAAAAACCCAAGAAATAGTGAGTGAATGAGTGAATGGACTAGTGCTTGAGTATTTCATCAGCTCTTAATTCTCAGTGGACTTTGCAATGGGTAAGTGGTCGCCCTCTGTAAGATGAGCAAAGCACAACATGGCGAGTGTAAGTAACTGGCCCAGGATTACATAGCTAGGAAGTAGCGGAGTTCTAGTCTCTCAGCAGAGCCAAAGCGCAGAAGCGCTCTGCTCCGGTCCTGCCGAATTCAAGCTGGTGGTGACAGTGGAGGTGGCAGGTGGGCGGCGTCCTGGCTGAGAGCAGTAGCCGGAGACTGCCCCCCCGGGGGAGGGGGGCTCATCAGCATCGGGCCAGAGGTTAGAAGAGTTCCCCTGCAGGGACAGCACGGGAATTTCATACACAGCGTGGGGTACATGCCAGGCTAACACACCCTTCTCCTGTGCAGAAAACAGCGGAAGCAGATGCACAACCACCTCCGGCAGAACATGTGCCCAGCCCACCAGAACCGGAGCTTGGCCAATGGGCCCAGCCACCCCCGGCTGGACCCCGAGGAAATCCAGATGGCAGATGTGAGTGGTCTTCCCAGAACCCCACTGGAGCCCTCACTGGATAGCCGGCCTTGTCGTGCCCCGTGCCGGGCCAGACCAGGGCAGCAGCCGGCCCACACCATGCTCAGCCTTGCCTGCTAGCCTAGCCTCACCAGGATGGCTGGCCTCGCTTTGTCCACTTCCTGAAGGGGTTGATTTGCTGGGGCCATCGCTGCCCTAACACTTATCCAGCAGACCACTCCCCAACCTGAAGCTTAGCACGTGGCTGCCCCATCCCCACCAGGAAGGAGGGCCCACTCGGTGACCCGTCACTAACTCCTGCCACACTGTGTCTGTTGCAGTACATCTCCAAGAACGTGCCAGCCACGGACCATGTCATCCGGAGGGAAACCGAGACCACCTTCTCTGGGAGCCACTCCTGCTCTCCTTCTCACCACTGTTCCACAGCCACACCCACCTCCAGCCACAGGTGGGCACCAGCCAGGCACATGTCTGCCTGGAGACACACAGAGAACCCCCCAGCCAGGCTCGCCTCTGTATTGAGGGTCCCCCTGAGTCAGAGGAGGGAGGTGGAGAGCTTTAGACCAGAACCCACCACTAGATGTTCATCCAGATCCTCAGCAGCCCAGATTCCCTTTCCCAGTCTAAACCAACCACAGAGGGACGACAGCATCCCTGTGCTCTCACCTGACATTTAGTTTTGGCACCACGTTATCTGGCATAAAGTGCCTCCTCATTCAAACACCCACACCTATTTGATGCCCTTTCCTGAGTTTGCCCATATGAACCTAGTCCACCTTAGCTTCCTTTCCTTTAGAGTGGGGAGGTCTGTCTGGCCAAGGACAAAGGTTCACAGAGCTCAAGAAATAACATGGTTGACCCCCTTCTTCCCTGGGGAGCGGTATGGACTAGGCAGGGCCCCCAGGTATTGGCCCCTGGGGCTGCGCTCCTGACATAGGTGGCTAAGGACCATGGGAGTGGAAGGGTCCCAGACAGGGGGCCCCGGGCCAAGGCTTGGGGGAAAGAAGGTTGCACGGAGGAAAAGAAGAGACTCGTGCACATGGCAGCTCACCCATCCACAGGACACTCAGCCCTCCTTCTCCCTAGATCATGACATGACACGCTGGCTCAGAGTGGAGAAGGGCAGTACTCTGAGGGTGCCTGAAATGAAATGAAGAACCTGGGAGGGGGTGGGCCTGGGACCACACCTGCTGGGCTGTCCCGCCCCTTCCTGATCCCTCACCTCTCCCCCACCCGCCTTCTGCAGGCATGAGAGCCACACATGGAGCCTGGAACGTTCTGAAAGCCTGACCTCCGACTCGCAGTCAGGCATCATGCTGTCATCAGTGGGTACCAGCAAGTGCAACAGCCCGGCGTGCGTGGAGGCCCGGGCGCGGCGGGCAGCAGCCTACAACCTGGAGGAGCGGCGCAGGGCTGCCGTGCCACCTTACCACGACTCCGTAGACTCCCTGCGTGACTCCCCACACAGCGAGAGGTCAGTTCCTGCCTCGTGCCCTCTGCCCCACCTTGGCCAGAGAACGGGCACCGCTGACCCAGGGCTGACCCTTAGGGCACCTCAGAGACACCCCAAAGACTCTCCTGTCCATATTTCTGATTGGCCAGCAAGGTCCCCGAGAGGTTCAATGATCTGCTCAGGGTCATCAGCATGTTCACGACAGACTGGGATTGCAGCTAAGCCAATGGACCCTGGTGTGGAGTGACCATCTAATTTAATTGTCCTACTAGGACACTTTCCAAAATAGAAGGGGATGTTAATAATTGCACTAGAACATCAGGAACAAATGGGGGCTGTTCCGGACGAACCAGACCATATGGTAGGCCTACCCTGGTGTCACCCAGAGGCCCCATGGCCCAGCGGGAACAGAAAGACACCAAGATCGAGCAGATTGGAGGGTGGGAGGGGAGGCTGTCTGCAAGGAGACTGACCAGTGCAGGCTGGGCATGAGCCAAGAATGACTGCAGGCCCTGGCAGCATCAGCAACAAGGCCCACGGATCAAGACACCATTGAGTTTCCGAGCAATGGATGGAGTGAGAACCAGGAAACTCCCCTTCTCCCCGCCAGGAGTCACAGGAGGCCAGTCCATCACCTTGCTCAGCCCTCTGGTGGCCCTTAGCAAGTGGGGTCTGTGGGAGGAGAGCAGAGGAAAGCGCATAGTACTGGGAACTCCAGGCTGGAGCAGAGGGACAGGAAATGTTCTCCTGCTCTAACTTAGCCTACTCATGCCAGCCCTTGCTGAGCAGGCCTGCCTGAGGACCCAGAGATGGCCCACCTGGTTCTTGCTCCCAAGGAGCTCCGAGCCACAGACACAAACCACTGAAGCTCACAGTCGCCTAAGGAACGTGCTAAGGACAGGCCATCTTACCAGGGCAGAGACCCAGTCTGACTCCAGGCTCTAGGAAGCAACCAGGTTTTCCAAGACCAACCTTTCAAAGCCCAACTCCACCACCTGTGTGATTTAAAGCAGATTGATCACCCCTGTGCCTTGTTTCCTCAGCTGTAAATCATGAAAAACCACCTGTCACACGTGGTTCTCATGAAGGCCATCAGAGATCATATGCACGAAGATCTCTGCCTCCTACCCAGCTATGCTAGGCTTAGCTGTTGTTTTCAGTAGCAATAGGACTCCTTAATGGTTGGGAGGTAGAGAGACAGGGAGAGCACTCCAAGCAAGGGGAGCATCCTGAGCTGTTCCAGCAGAGGCATTTCAGAATATGGCTAGTGAGTGAGGTGCCCGGAGCAGGGTGAGCTGTAGGGAGAGTGGAGTCTGAACAAAGTAGGCTGGGGTCAGGGAGACGGCTGATGGCCCTGGATGGGTAAGCAGAAGGGCGTCCTTAAGCAAAACAGTGACGTTAAAAGATTGCTCTGGAAAGTGCATACAGTAGAAGAGAGGCCCTGGAGTGGGGTAATGACCAGAGCAAACAACTTGGCCCAGGATGGGGTAGAGCAGGGCACAGGGGGTGTTCCAGGAGACGGGGAATGGCGGCTAACTGGATGTGCACGTGGGAGAGGGAAGGGAGGGAAGGCAGGCGATTCAGAAAGAGAGTAGGGGGGACTCTGGAGAGTACTGAAGTGTAAGTCCTGGTTCCGGCCTGACATCCGTTCAAATCCCAACTCTACCACTTCCTGGTAGTGTGAACCCTGAACAAGCCACTTAAATGTTCTGAGTCTCAGTTTCCTCAGGTGTAGTATGGGACTAACATAAAGGTCTTAGAGAATCACTGTTATTAGATGAGATAGTACATGTAAAATGCCCCAGGCTGAGCCTGACCCAAAGTAACCATTCAGAAACCTGGCGACTGTGAGCATCCCCCACACCAAAGGATCATTCATGGAGGATAATCAGGCAGGCACTGGCATTCCATTTGACACATCTATGGAATCATCCCAACGACGCCATGGAATGAGCACTGTGGTTATCCCCGCTGAACAGATAAGGCCACTGAGCCCGGGAGAGGTTAAGGAAATTGTTTAAGGTCAGTGGGGAGTGCCACCATGATTCCTGCACACGGCATCCCAGGCGAGACCGCTGCTCTCCGTCGGGATCCACCCCTTCACCCCACCCCTTTAGCCCCCCGCCCACGCCTCTGCCTCTCCCCGCAGGTACGTGTCGGCACTGACCACGCCCGCGCGCCTCTCTCCCGTGGACTTCCACTACTCGCTGGCCACGCAGGTGCCGACTTTTGAGATCACGTCCCCCAACTCGGCGCACGCAGTGTCGCTGCCGCCGGCCGCGCCCATCAACTACCGCCTGGCGGAGCAGCAGCCGCTACTGCGGCAGCCGGCGCCCCCCGGCCCGGGACCCGGGCCCGGCGCGGACATGCAGCGCAGCTACGACAGTTACTACTACCCCGCGGCGGGCCCGGGGCCGCGGCGCGGGGCCTGCGCGCTGGGCGGCAGCCTGGGCAGCCTGCCCGCCAGCCCCTTCCGCATCCCCGAGGACGACGAGTACGAGACCACGCAGGAGTGCGCGCCCCCGCCCCCATCGCGGCCGCGCGCCCGCGGCGCGTCCCGCAGGACGTCGGCGGGGCCCCGGCGCTGGCGCCGCTCGCGCCTCAACGGGCTGGCGGCGCAGCGCGCACGCGCGGCGCGGGACTCGCTGTCGCTGAGCAGCGGCTCGGGTGGCGGCTCGGGTGGCGGCTCGGCCTCTGCCTCGGACGACGACGCGGACGGGGCGCTGGCGGCCGAGAGCACGCCTTTCCTCGGCCTGCGTGCGGCGCACGATGCGCTGCGCTCGGACTCGCCGCCGCTGTGCCCGGCGGCAGACAGCAGGACTTACTACTCCCTGGACAGCCACAGCACGCGGGCCAGCAGCAGACACAGCCGCGGGCCGCCCCCGCGGGGCAAGCAAGACTCGGCGCCCCTCTAGGGGCCCCCGCCGCCCGCCGCCCCCTCCGCCTCGCCTGCCCCACTGTCTTTAAGGAGGACAGAGACCACCGCCTGGAGAGAGAAAGGAGGAAAAAAATAAAAATATTTTTATTTTCTATAAAAGGAAAAAGGTATAACAAAATGTTTTATTTTCATTTTAGCAAAAATTGTCTTATAATACTAGCTAACGGCAAAGACGTTTTTATAGGGAAACTATTTATATGTAACATCCTGATTTACAGCTTCGGAAAAAAAAAGAAACAACAAAAAAAAGAGATGGGCCAATTTTTTGACTCTTTAATAGAAACCTATATTGTGGTGCCTTTTGCTGTACGCTAATCTGGAGCTCCTGGAGAGAAGTCGGGTTGTGGGGTGGGGTGGGGGTGAGGGGAATGTAGGATCCCAAGCTGGCAGGGGTGAGAGGGAGCCGGCAAAGGAGGGGCTGCTGGGTGCTGGTGGGGGCAGGGAGGGGATTGGCCCTGAGGAAGGAAATGAGGACAGGAGGAGCTTTGCCCCCAGGCAGGATCTTGAGTCCCCGACCCCCCCCACCCCTCCCCCCACCCCCGCCGCTGAAGAGAAGGCAGGGATCCTAGGCTTGGAGCTAGAGTCGGGATCGGGTAACATTCAGGGGGAGACTTAAGGCCCAGCGACAGCAACCAGAATGGGGAGGGGGCCTCCCCACTCCTTACAGCTGCTAAGGGAGGGGGCACTGAGAAAGAGGTCTTCCCAACAGTCCTGGCCCCAGGGAGGGGGCAGCTCTACCAGGGCCCCAAAGTTCCGGCTCCTCCTCCCCTGTGGCCTCCAGGATGCCCTTCCGTCCTCTGCAGCACCTTCGTTTACAGGTTGTCTTTTCTATTTTATGCCTGCATGTCCTTTGCATTTCAGATTCTTTAGATTGGATGCATGGTCACGCTGGGACCGAGAAGAGCCACTCCACAGTGTATTTGATTCCCCTTTTAGCAATAAAGTAACACCATTTCTTCCAGACCCCAAGCCACCTATGACTTCCACTCCCTCTCCAGCCCTGTCCTCCCCACCCCCGCAAAACTGGGTCCACTGCTAATTTGTCAAAAAGGTAATTGTTTAAAAGAAAACACCGAACAAACAAATGGGAACCCTGCCCTGAAATGTCCAAACACCTGACTGTTGACACTTGAACATTTTTATATTATAAATAAAATCAGAAATAACTCATGTTTGATTGTGTGTGCCTAGCCCCCAGGTGAGGAGAGAAGACAGAGGAGGAGGACCTGGGTGGAGATGGATGGATGCTGGTGTGGAGATTGGAGAGGGCCAGGGTAGTCCCAGGGAGGAAGAGACCGTCCCTCTCATCTCCCTGACTTCAGCTCCTAGGACAGGCTGCATCCCTCCTCCCTTTGCCAAGAATATTCACGAGGTTCCCCCCAGCTGCTGGGGAACCTGGCCAAGGGGCTGATGCATATAGTACTCTGCTTTGAGCTCAGCCTCAGAACCCTGGCCCGGTTCCTGCCCTGGAGCTACTGGGGCTGCACTGAGACAGCAATTTCCCACCTACGTGGGGGAGGAGGGAAGGCTTGTGGGGTTGGCACTGGGGCCGCTGAGGCAAGACGACCCTTGGGGCCTCAGGCATTTCACAGGCAAAGCCCGGACATGCAAGATGGCCTAATGGGTACCCTTGGCTGCCAGGAAGACCACAGCTGCTGCCGCTTGTAAACCCACAGGGTGTTGTGCTTTTCCCAACTTTATAGCCCCTCAGAGCCAGGGCCTGTCGAAACCTGCAGCCCTGATGAAGGCATGGAGAAGGCAGATGGAGGTCGAGGGTTAAGAAGCCTTTTCACTCGTTGATTTATTTGTTAAACCAGTGCCCAGGGCCGGGAACCCTTATGTTCCAGCCAGACACAAGGGGGTCTTCTCGCCAGAGGGCTCAGGCAGTTGAGCGCGCGCATGCGCAGATGCCCCCCAGAATGTGTGTGGTCAGTTTAGAGACCTACCAACGGGAGGGCCGGAGAGGCTTAAGGTTGAGAGGGGCTGAGTTCAGTTCCAGCTCTGCCCCTCTCTGGCGGTGTGACTTTTCCTCAGCTATTAAGTGGTGTTCCTGATACCTACCTCAAAGGGTTGCTGTGGCGATCATATATAAAGCACCCGGAACTGCTTCCGGCACAGGATGCCTAGTGATGGCTAATTTGATGATGATGATGATGGCATCCTGTGCCTTGCATTCTTGAATCACACAGAGAATGGCAAAAACTAGATGAAAGGGAGGTGATGGGGAAAAGTAAAGAACTAAAGTCATTGTGTTCACTGTGGGGGTGCTGGAAAAAAAAAGCACCTGTTACAAAGAAACAAAGGAAATAGTGAACTAAATGGTATATAAGCCTGCAAATCACTGATCTCTCCCAGGCCCCATCTGGTGATCTCATCCAAATCCCTTCCTGGCTCTGAGTTAGTTTGCTGTTGGCTTTAAAATTTTCTGACAGCCAATAATTCCTCTATGTGACTTCTGACCTCTTTGTGAACCCCCATAATTGTGGACGACCTCTTGGTGAACCCATTGGCCTTTTCACGACCCCTCAGTGTCAAATTGACCCTTCTGAGGGCTCTGAGTTGCTGTTACCATCTAAATTTTCAGTCAGAATCCACTCTATGACTCCAGTGAACCCACTGACCTCTATGTGAACCCCAGTAATTGTGACTGACCTCTTGGTGAACCCCCTGGCCTTTTCATGACCCCAGGTAATTGTATCAAATAATTTGGTAGCTTGCTTATCTGCTCTGGATTCTAAAACACCTACCAAGATACCAAGAGTCTATACGGTCAGAACCTAATGGAATTCGCCACCCATTCATTTCACAGGTGTGAATGGGACCTGGGAGAGGTGTGGCCAGAGAGGCTCATTTTCCACTCTGCCTCTCACATTTCTGCCTTGGCGTGTCTTTAGTCTGGCCCATCAGGAAGAGGTGTAGCCCTGTTAAGTGACTTCCCTACTACCACCTTGTCCCCCAGGACCACTTAGGACATTCAGGCGGCTTCCTGAGTCAGAGTCTTGTTCCCCACTCCAGTTCTGTCTTCTTCTCTCTGCCAGGTCAGTTTTGGCTTTCTCCCCAGTGCTCCCAGGGTCCCCATTGGTAATGGTGACTCCCTGTCCCCTCCCCACTAGACTGTGAGCCCCATGTGGGACAGGGAGCTGCTCGGTCCTTTTCTCACCACAGTATCCTCAACACCTAGCACAGTGCGCTGCACTGGTGACCTTCACTGAATGAGAAAAGAAACACTGTGGTCAAGGGTCAGCCCCCAGAAGTCCCTGCGCCCGTAGCCACTTCCCAGGACCACCAGGTGGCGCAAACCACTTATTGCATCTCACCTGTGGTCCTCCAGCCCCTGGATTTGGACAGTCCTGGAAAATGGGCATATTAGAGGCAGAAGTTGGGAGGAGGGGAATATGATGGTCCATTAGAATGCAGGAAAAAAAAATATTAGAACTTTGATTTAGATTTATTTTCATCTCATCTTTTTAAATTTCTATTTTTGTGTATGTTTTATAATGTACATAATATTTTAGTACAGTAGTACATGTATATAATTTACAATAAATAATTATACAATTAAGAAAGTGAACTAAAGATTTTTTTACTGATGGGAGACATCACTAGCGCTCAGGGAAGCCTGTCTGCAGCAGACAGAAGCTTGCTTCTCTGCTTTCACTCACCCACCCTCATGAGGTGGAGGGTGGGAAGCTGACCCCAAAAATCCAAGACCTTAGAGCCAGCATGGAGAAAGTACAGAGAGCTCTTTTATGTTACATTGCTCTTTCAACTTCATTTAAATGAACATTTACTTCCCCCCAGCAAAACGAAGGGGCCGGATGGTTTGGGTGTAAAATACACTTCAGCTGATCCCAATTAAATCATCTGGATTTAAATCACTACATATTTCCACAGACTCATACGTCCCTTGCGTCAAATGTGAGCGTGCTTGAACCGTTAGGTACTTAATAAGATAAGCCAACCTTGCCACTAACTAACTACATTACCACTGAGGTCAAATTGCTGCCCAAACTAATCTATTTTAAAAATATAAAGGATCTGCTCATCATAGCTCATTGAAGGCCCATCACCTCCACTGCCGGTCCGTCTGAGGAATTCAGGGTTTACGAGATACTAGTCTGTGATCATGTGGCAAATTTTTCTATCCTTCCCAGGCATGTCCTGAGCTAGCATTTCTGAGTCACTAGAAGAATGAAAGAAATATCAGCTTAAAAACCAATCAGCAACTTCTTACTCCACCTTTTCCCAAGATCAGGAACTAATGGCTTCCATAACCTTCCTCCACCAAACATCTTTGGGCTTGTTGACAAGTGGCTGTTTGCAAGGCAGAGTGTCTTTTATTCCCGGAGCAGTAAATCTGTACAAGAGGCCACCTCTGGAGCTCAGAGACCTGGCAGCACCAACATAAAGACCAAAATATAAACGGGGCCATGGTCCCATCCCACTCACACCCCAGAATGCCTGTGGGACGGGGGGGGGGGGGTGGCGCACACACACACACACTGGCTATTTATTCCAAACACCAACTGTCAGAGCAGTGTGAGTCACAGGTCAGCCGGAAGAAGGGCAAAGGGGCCACGAGAAGGTCCGCACTGTCTCCACCTTCTCTCCCAGAGGGTCTGGGCCACCAACGGGCCAGAGAGCAGCCCTCCTTGCTAACAGGTGGAGTTCCAGAATAGGCTTTTCCTTCATCTTATTTCATCTTAATATCAATTCCAAAATCATCTTTCAAGGGGTCCCTTATTTATATATACAATTCTTGTATGTATACATTGTTGTCCGTATAAAAGAAAGCAGTAGTGGCCTCCAGAAATGGAAGGTGAGGTGGCCACACACGTGAGTAGACAGCCTGACATTGAGGGAGCAGGCCCGGGTCTGGGATTATTGCAAAGGGAGGCAGGAGAACGGGGCATGGTTCCAGAAGCTCCTGGGTAGAGGGAGGAGAGGATGGGGCTGGTGGTCCGCAGACCGGCAGCT